AATTCATATTGTGTCTATGTTCCTGTTCCACATAATCTCATTATGCGTAATACACTCATTCAATATCTCGTCATATTAACAGTGCGGATAACACCGTTCCATTCTAAATGGGAATGACATGTATTAGTATTATTTTAATTAAAGATTCTTAGCTTTAATTAAATTCATTACGAACATCATTTTTTATTATTATCCTTAAACATTATCCTCTCGCATATAACAGTTATATACAATGTTTAAGGTCACATAAATAATAATGAAATTTTCATTGATATTCATAAAATATTCATAAATATATGCACATAAAATGATGAATTGACTCTTTTATTAAATAATTAATAAATATCCTATTACATATCATACTTCTAGGACACCATTCATAATAAAAACTGTTTCATATAATACATGTCAGTATAATCTGGATAAAAAATTTTTTTTGGTCCCTATAACAATAAACCTAGCTCCATCACTGCGTAGCCTAGTAATGATAAAATTTGTATTACCTGTGTAACGCTTGAGAAATTATAGTATTAAGTCACAAAATATCCTAATAACACTTTGAGTTTGAATCTGTATAGTTGTTAATTTGGTGTTGATGCATGTGTAATTTTTCTTTAAAAATAAATCTTGAATATTTCATTAAAATAATTAAAATTGGTAAATGGATATAAGGGATACTGTGCATTTCCTATTTTTTAGTGGGTTCACCCACCCACTTACATACCTACATGTGAATGTCACAAGTAGGTTTTTGTTCATTAGTCGATACTTTGGTGTCGAAATGATCAATTGTACAATTAGTTTAAAAGTTTGGGTAATAAAGTTGTTGACGGTGAAAATTTATCAACTAAAGGTAATCAAATTTCTCAGCTAATTAATGCAAACTTGAAGAATACTGAGTGAGGTAAATGCAAAAAATTATGAATAAATATTAGAATTTATAGTGGTTCACTCTCAGTTTGAGAACTATGTCCACTGTAAGCAGGAGGGGAATATTTTCACTATGAGAAAGAAAAGAGTATAGACATACTAATTTGCTCAGGATGAGACTTTGCCCCTTTTATGGCTCCTAATTCCCTTTTTATAGTATTCTATTCATGATAATCTTTCTCCTAGAGATGACGAGTCCTGGAGATTAGGGGTGTAAGAATTAAGCCCGAACCTGACTAACCCGTCCGACCCAACCCGAAAAAATAGGGTTATATTTTTTTTAAATTCAGATTTAAATAGGCCCAACCCGCAATTTGTAGGTTGGGCCGCGGGTCGGGCAACATTTCACCCGAGTTGCCCTGACCTGCCCGAGTTTGTAAGCGTAAGTTTGTGTAACCCTAAGTTCCTTCCTCCCAACCTTCGCAGGTCGCACGCAGCCTCCCCTGAGTCCCCTCTAGTTTCACTTCAAGCCTCCCTCGCCTCCCAAGCCTGAGTCGCCTCGATCTCACCTCCGCCTGAGCCCCAAATCCTTCCTCACTTCAAGCCTCCCTCGCCTCCCAAGCCTCGATCTCGCCTCCCTCACCCCCTCAGTCACGCATTCTCTCAATTTTGCTTCTGTTTTCACCGTAAGTGTTTTTTTTTTCCTTTATTCGATTCTATCAACATGTGGGTTAATTGGTGGGGGGGGGGGGGGGGGGGGGGGATTTTGTGATTAAAAGGAATGCTTGCATTTGCAGTTTTTATTCTACTCTTTGCTCCTTGATCCATTTAAAAATTCTGGGCTTCTCTAGGTTTATATGTGTATGTGTATGGATATATATGTAAGCCTTTGTTTGTGTTTCTTTTTGCTGTTTTCACGAAGAGTTTCAAATGGGTTTTTCTAGGCCCTGTTCAGTTTGAATCAAGTAATATTTCTGTTTTGGTGTTCCAATATGTATTTCAGTTTGAAGCAGTTACCATGTATTTTCATAATGAGCCGTGCTTTACATTTTTTGCTCCTCCGTTGTCGTCCTCATGTACTATATATATATATATATATATACACACACACACACATACATGTGTGTGTGTGGTATACATATCTTGGGGGTAGAAGATGTATAATACGTTTTCCTTATCTATGCTCTAAATGATAGTTCAACGCTTTGACCTGAAACTAATTCTTGTGTTAAAGTGATTATACTTCTAGTTCAGCAG